AGGAATTTTTTAAACCTTTCTTGCTCCAAGCTACTGCCCAGAGGGAATAAGTAGGCCATGCTCAAAGGCAATGCTTGTTTGCAGATAGTATGGTATCTACAACACATTCTTGCTCCAGCTTCATTTTTATTCTCTTCTCACAAGCCTGGCCACGGCACCACTTGGGGTAGTGGCTTCCCACTTACCTGTGAACAGTCTAAATACACAGCAGCACTCCTCTTAGACAAATAGCCAGAGCTGCACATAAGACATTTTGCATGTCCTTCTCATTGCATGATCACAACCCAGAGCTTACATCCAAGAAGTTACTTGATGACTCAGACTCAAGTAAAGGGTGTGGTCACTTCTTGGACTTGAAAAATCTTCTTTCAAATTGGGTACATTAACAACAAGCTATTGAAGGCCCCCAGTCCTCAAGAGCCATGAAGAAATTCATGCATGCTTGTGAACTGAGTGTAGGGCTGAGTCATGCATGAGCTCCCTACCACGAAGACAAGAGGCTCACTCATTCCACATCGTCTGCATATGCAGCAGGAAGTCTTGCTTTTTCACAAGTGATACTCAGTGGGGCAGCTCAGCTCACAAGCCCTACCCAGAGCATCAGGCGTAACTGCTTGCTACAGCCCTGCTTCCTTATTTACTGCATTCTTATACAGGACAACACCTGAGCCTGCAAGACCATTTTGATATGGTGAAAAAAACAACAGCTCTCCTTGGTAACAGCGCCAAGAGCAGCTGAACGGTATACAGGGGGTTGGAAGGTTAGCATTCCTCCAGACAACCTGATTCACATTTGAAGGACCAGTGTCCAGTATGTTCTAAGAGTGCAACAGTGCATTCAAATGAAAATGATTAGAATATGACTAAATTCTCTGGAGATAAGTTTTACCTCTTCTGTCATTTGCTCCAGGCTATTGCCTATGAACAGAAGCAGCCCAACTCAGTCTAAAAGCACCACTAAGTTACCAATAGAACCAGAAGGTACACAAATGGCAAGGTAAAACTGAAAAGGCAAAAAGGCAGCAGCTCCAAGTTCTACCTTGCACTTCCATAGCAGGACTGGTATTATGCTCTGGAAGGACTAAGTCTTAGCTTTGAAGTCTAAAATGAAGCTTGAAAATTTTGAAGAGTCTTAACTAAAAAGAGGTAATGAAATAAAGAACTTATCCCACACAGTGACCATCCTCTCTTCTCCAACTCCTCTTTCTGCATTTGTAAACCAGATTATGGCCTGGTGACTACCATCTAAGGTGGCAGTAGACTTCTAAAGCAACTGTCATTGCTATCCCACAATTTTCAACCCCCAGATTAGGTTGCTTTTGACAGGTCTTTGTGTTCAGACAGTACTTCTTTAACACAGAAAACCCTGACACCATATTGACATTATAAGGTTCCTCACATTGTCATTGAAACACAGGGCAATATCCAAAAGTGAAGAATTTACACTTTATTGTACTCATTTACATAGATCAAGATTATAGTTTCCACCACTTCACCTAGCTAGCTTATTTAGCTATTTTTTTTTTTTTTTAAAGTAGAAAAGTTTTGGGCTATAATTTAGCCGAAGCACTCATGCTTCAATGTCTCCATGGCTGGAGATTAGACTAAACTTTTAATGGTCTCTTCCAGCTTCTCTTTATTGGCCCCAGAGAACTCCTGCACCTGTAAAGAGAGATTTATTTTTAGAACTGTTGCATTCAATGCTTCATAACATTAGTTGCATAGCACCCAGTCACATACACATCTATTCGACTCTGCTACAATTAATTTTTTTTCTGCTTTTTAAACAGTGTTTTGCAGATGTTAATCTATTTCTCTCCCACTCAACTCATGCAAAAACTGGGACAAAGCCTATCAACAATCACTTCCAAACTATCTTTGATCCTGAATCAATATTGTGCAAGAATCACATAGATGCTGGAGGAGACTCAGAGATAGCTCCAAGTCACCTTGGGTTGCTCAGGACCCCTACCAATCAAATTCTGGAAGGATTGGCTCAAATGACTGTCTCTGAGCCTGGCTTGTCCTGTAAGAACTGTCCTTCTTCCACTTTACACAGCAGAAAGACAAAGGCAACATTCATATCTCAAAAACAGCAGCTCTGTCTTCCAGTACCTATAGGGGTGCAAGGTGCAGAGCAGACTATACCAGGGGCCATGACACTGCTTGCTTGATACAAAATGGCACACAGAGACTGTCACAATGTAATCATAATTCTTACAATTGCGTTATGACATTGTGGAAGTTCCCACAAAGAGAACTGTCAAAGGTTCATGGTTCATCATGACTTAGCCCCATGCTGAACTGAAAGTCACCCTGCATTTGACATTCACTCTCCAAGGTGCAATTCCCTTGCCTTCAACCATGAAACTTCCATGCAGGTATTGTTTTACTTTAGAAAAGCCTACCTTCACCTTGCTTGGCAAACTGAAAGTCCAAGACAACACATTTAGCTCAGCAATTCCTGAGTTCAGGCAGAGAACTATTCAAATTACCATGCACAGGCAGCCCACTATTCTGTCAGAGCACAATCTGCATCCTATATCATCCATCTCTGGGCAGTGCAGGCACAAGAGGTCTGCTCAGTCCTCTGACAAGGACAGAACCTTCACTTCACAGGTTACACAGCCTTCTACGCAAAAGCATCCAAACAGCTGTTTCAGCTGCATGTACAGCCAACCAGGTTAGAGAGTTCTGTTTGGGTGGCATTACACAGGCACATACAGTCTCTGCTTGAACATGAGCTGCATCCAGAGTACAAACACTAACCAAGTAAAAAGCAAGGTGCTAGGCAGACAAATCAGCAGTCTTAACCCAGACCTCTCACCCCACTGTCTCTCATGACGCTCTGCCTGTAAGACTGACCTGTTACACTAACTCAGTTCACTACCTGTGAACAACAGTTTGCATCACCAGTTAACTGCTGGTCCCCCTTACATTTGCTAAGATGAACTTGCTCCCTCCCAGGAATTCCTTAATGCTATTGGTACCCCAGAGACACTATCAAGCGAAAGAAGACTATGTAGTCCAACATTTCCAATCTTCTTTCAAGTGTTTAGCTTTCCTGCTCCAGATCCAAAGAGCAGAGCCTACCTTCTTTCCATTCTTGTAGAACTGGAACGTTGGCATGCACTTCACATCGCAGTGGGAAGCAACATCCTGGAAGAAACAAAAAGTAATCTTCAACTGTGCGTGTTCTGAAGGGTGTTAAATTTAGAACCCACTAGGTGACTTCTGTTTAGGCAAAGCCATTTCTGCTTAACATAGATCAAAAGCACTTCTGGCAGTTCATCACCAGTGCAGTGTTAACATCTCCCTGAAATAAGCCCTAGAGACCCTCCCTTCAGCATTTAATTCATTCAGTAGCAAAAATGCATTAACTATACCTGTACTCTGTGTTTGGAAAAACACAGACCTCTGCATCAAAACAGACATGACCGTTGTAAGGCTCAAGAGCCCCACGGCAACTCTTTGCTTCAACCTGACATTTTTCAAATACCTATTTGACACCGCTGGAACTGCAATACAGGAGACATTTTATTGCACTTAATTCAAGACTTAATTTGAAATGAAAGAGCAAACTGCCACAAGAAGTGGCGAGATCAGACAGATCAGAGAGTTGTGAACCATTATGCTTAGAGAAGATTGCATCAGGGCAGCTAAAGGCCTTAGACTAACACTCCCTCCCCCCAAGTAAAGAGTCAGTCATAGTACTTCAAGTCTGTTGATAATCAAGGCAGTTTTTTCTGTTTAGGGGTTCTCTTAAAAAAAGAAATCCAAATCATTCTTTCCAGCTAAATCCCTATCCTTCTGAAGTTGAAGTAATGTCTCGTTTTGTTTCAGTATGTGCAAGGACATTTTTAAAAACAGTTCTGTGCTTTGTCACTTGCATGGAACTCTTTAGCACCACTTCAGACTTACCTGGGCATCATCCACATCAATTTCAATGAACACCACATTACCATACTTCTCAGACAAACTCTGGAATGAAAAAAAAAGAAAAGCCCTTGCAGTTATAGTGTTCCAGGAATGCTTTCTTTTCAAAGACACATTCATATAAATTGTAAGGCTGGTGCTGCTTAACTCCCCAGTGACACACACCTTGTTATCTTAGAGCAGCTATTTTACTGACCCTAACAAAGAATTTCTGCTCCAGACTGTTTCTGGAGGAGTCTGTTGAAACTTGTTCAAATATACTCTCCATAGAGAAGACTCAAATATCCTTCTCTTATGGCCTTCAGCTGGTCACTGAAAGATGTGACAGCTTATCTCACACTTTACCAGGAGTAACACTGCCACCTAAGCACGACTGGATCGATTACATTAATGGTGTACAGGAGGATAAACTGTTTCCTCTCTGTATCCCACCTCTGGAGGCAATGCAACCAACAGGTCCCTATGGACCCAAAATGTATGTTAAGCACTAAGACAGCGAAAGTTAAACCACGTTTTACCTCCCAGTTGTATCAAAGGTCAATATATTTAACTTGATAGTCTTAAAAGTAGATACTTCTGCAACTTCTCCCTTTTCCAGAAAATGCTAGCAATTACATGTGGTAAAAGGAACTTCCTTCGCATTATTGTCAAGCAACACAAAAGCATTTATATACAAGTAAATGAAGGAATAAAACCAGAAAAGCTACTTACGTGGAAGAAGGGCTTGATCATTTTGCATGGTCCACACCATGTGGCAGAAAAATCAACTACTATAAGCTTCTCACCAGCAGATTTCAGTTCTGTCTCAAATTCGGTCTACAAAAATAAAAGAAAATAATTGAATGCATTAATGATTCCCCCTCCTTTCCTGAACAATGCAGACTATCTCCAAAGCAGGCTTGCTCTCAGCCTTAACACACTAATCATTATGGCAGCTCTTAAAACACTTAACTGGGGTATTTGTACCACATGTAAGTGCTTCACTGTGAACTGCTTTCATCAGGGCTAGCATCAGTCAGTGTCTTATGACCCTTCAATTAGAAAATGACCGCAACACTCAGTCTAACTCACTGAACTGTGGAAACAAGCTAGAAATTCTCTAGTTACAGTGCTCAATCCTGACAGCTCTGTATTATGCCCCAAGTGTGATCTGTATGGTTTTAAATAATCCGTTTTCTCATTTATATCTTGGCAGAAGGACCTCAATTTTCTTCTGGGACAGACTTTGCTTTGCAGAATTTGAAAAGGACAAACCTTGGTACACTTCTCCAGTCTGATTTCTTTTCCAATCAATGACTAACACTAAAATGATGTTGTGTGGTTTACTCTATGGTGTGTGTTCCAAAGAAGCCTCATAGGATTGCCATCTTACTGATTTTACCAAGTGAACCCCCATGTAACACCACTAGTCAAAACAATGCTATACATACAGTCTACATAAGCAACCACCCAGTACTTATACAGATCTTTGAGCCTGTGTGTTACACATAGTCACACCAATTATTTCTGGACAATGTTCTCTGGAGTTTAGACACTCTTACATGCCACTACTTGTGTTTCCTGGTCAAAAAGTGAATGTTTGCATAGAACTGGAAGACATTAAAAACAATAAATACTTGCATACAAACAAGAGGCAAACAAGTATCTCAGGCAGAAGCAGAAAGTGCTGATCAGCTACTTCCTGACAATGTCTTTTTCTGAGAAACAACAGGCCATGTCAATGTTCAACTTTGTTCTCATGGCAATCGAGCTGTTAAAAACTTCATTTCAGATTATGCACATAAAAGATAGAACTCTAGTCATTTGGTCTAAGTTGGAGAGAGCAAAGCAGCTGTCAGCAACAGCTAACTGAAAGCAATATGGCTACTGCCACATGTAGACAGTGGTTGGCTGTGCAGAGCAAGAGTTAACTAATTAATACCAGCTTCTGCAATCAGCCACACTAAGTCCTGACTTGATTCTAGTAAGCCATTCCCCCAATTAAAGAATGTCATGCAGGCAAGTAGCCAAGAGTACGCACAATCAGACTGGTCACAAGTGTATTTAACCAGCAGGCAGAAGTCCTGCATGAGCATTCTCAGGTAGAAACCTAGTGAAAGTATTCACAGCTTCCTGTAACTTCGAACACACCCAGCATTATATCTCCCTGCTAACAGACTTTTTCCCTCCCCATGTAGCTATCTTCAGAAGCACAGCCTCCATGCTGTTCTTCCACACCTGCATCTTGGACAGTCAAAGCAGCCAACACTCCACACCACCTACTCTGATTCTGAAAGAGATGGGAATGGTTAAGTTTTCCCATCTCCCTACATTCCCTCACTCCTGTACCTAGGTTTTTCATCCCAATCCCACCAATAACATTTAATGCACCCGTACACAGGAATCCATGCAAACTGATCCCTGCAGCTACTTACACCGTAAGCTCCTCAGCCAAGCCTCACTCCTATCCTACTACTGTATTTTGGTATAGTTTCTCACACCTCGGCACTGTAACATCACGAGCTCTTTACTGGTTCCACTTCCTGCAGCTGCCAGCTAGACCATCCTCTTTTAACCCTTAAGTCTTCGGTCCAGCTGCATAGTCACTGTATTCTGCAAAAGGAAGCCCAGACCGGGGGACATGTTCATCACATGGCCACACAGCTCAGGTCTGCTGTTGCGCAGAACAAAGGGAAAGTGGGAGGGCATCCTAACTACAACTGGTCACACACCATTCACCTGGCCTCGACTACAAATCTGCAGTTACTCTGCAAAGTCATCTCTAGTATCAACTAAAATCGGTGTGGGAGAGTGAAGCGAGGTGCTGGGACCAAAGGTCTTACCCTTGCAAGTTAAAAAGTATTGCACTAGTGAGAAGTTCTGACACTTTTCCCAGAAAGCTTAATTTCCCTGGAGGAACGAAGACAGTAACAGGGGCAAAACAAGCTGCTTGACTTGTTCAACTGACTCCCATAGTTGTCTTTTATGTTAACTATGAAGTAACAAGCTTTCATATAAAATCCCAAATAATCTCTGCTACCCCAAGGGGAACCTTCCACCACAAGACCCTTTTGTCATACTATTACAGGACCTTACAGCTTTGTTGACCAGCATTTTCTCCAGGTAGCACCTTAATGAGGAAAAGCCCAGCTGGATGGAATTTGTTTTCCTTTGACATTTAACTACAACCTCCCTGAACACACACAAGACCTCATTTTGCCTGTATTGTCCTCCAGCAGAAAAGCACATGCCGCATTGAACAAACACATTGGTAACATCTGTTCCCAAGGGCCAAGCAAGAGAAAAAGCTCTCAGAACCAAAGCCTCCAGTGCACCAGTTTCCCAGCACCACCAGTTTCCCAGCACCACCCGATACCTCAAAATGGAGGCTGCTGGCTACAGACAGTGCTGAAAGCAGTGGACTGCTCTCAGCAATAGATAAGATAGGGCCACACTATCTGGCAGATTTGATTAAAACCTAGTTATAAACATTATTTTGAACACATTAAGTCACCCTTGAACTTGGATTAACCCAGTCATCAGCTGACTGGCAATGGTTACTATGTAATTCGGTGGGGTTTTTAACTACAGAAGCTAACACAAACAGACTTAAGGTTGGACTACCTGAACTCCCTAGCAGACACCATTTCTAACACTGTAACTGAAGCCGCAACTTTGTGCTAGTTCCTTTAGCGCCAGTAACAGAGAGGCAGATAGAGGAAAACTTTGGCAGCACGAGTTTTAAAAGTTTATAGTCCCCATCAGCTTCTGCTATAAAAGGCATTATGTCTCATAGTCAAAGCCTGTTACAAGTTACACTAGCCACCACATACTCCAAACAATAAAAATACTAGTTCTAGCTACTTCCATGCACTTCAAGCAGGGACTTCAGAGGGACCAGCCAAATCCCTTGAAAGTTGCCATTCTTCAGCAGCCAGTCAGTTCCTGAGGAGGTATATAGGGAGAGGGGCCACACCTAGCTGTCACATTCACATTGCTTTGCAGGCATTACTCACAGATAATGGAAAAACAGGTTCCCCCTTTGTATCAGGGAACACAAAGCTGCTTCACTGAAAACCAGAATTAATCCAGAAATCCCAGTTGCACTGTACTCGAATACTCTGGGTGTTACTGATGTTAAAATCTTGTCGTCAGCATGACTGTTGAGTCCACGCTCTCCGGCAAAAAACCAGTGCTTTAACTGCAGCAGACTATTAACCAATGCTCACAGCTAAGAGATTAATAGAGGCCTAGTTGAGTTAGAGCAAGCTCTTCCTCCAAAGCCAGGTTTATTGACTTGCCATTTTTAAACTGTCCCTGCCCATAAACGTTTGCCCCTTCTGTCCCTCCATAAACACAGAAGGGGGAAAAGGGGGAGACGAGAGAACCAGAATAACTTAAGATTGAATGCACCATTCTCTCTCCAGGGCCTGAATGATGGGGTATTTCTTTCATCATAAGGACTTTTCTGCATTTACAGGTTTTTGAGCTGTGGTCACAGCAGTTAGTATGCTCCTGTGTCAGGTGTTAACACCTTAGCAGTCACTCACAGACACCTCAAATGAGATTAAACTGACACTTCCACCGAATTTCAAGCTCAAAAGGCAACACTAGCCCTGCAGGACTTTTCCTGAAATTAAGTTTGCACGGAGAATACTTTTTGAGATTTGGGTACATAAGTTACAGCTAACAAACACTTTATTGTTGCCCATCACCCACGTCAGCTGCTGTGCACAAGACCACATGCTCTTTCACCACCAGCAGGGTATACTCCATGCGTTGGTCCAGGGTTGGTTACTACACTGCACCTCGGAGCCACAGATTCGTTTGTACTCACAGAACCACCCAAACAGCGCTGTGCTGCATTAGCACACCGAACATGTCAGACAGCACCACAGCCAGGGAAACACTTCTCGGGCCAGCGACTCCTGCTATTTAAGCACAGGAATCGACCCCAGCGATTCCTTTCAAGTCAAGAAAACTGTCGCGTTTTCCATGAACTCCTACCCGGAAACGCACCAGGACTTCGGCCAATCTCTCCAGCGAGA